TATATATATATATATATATATACATAGGGGCCTAATCAAATGAGAACTGATTAGTTTGTGGTAATTGTGAGGTTCAATCTCAACCACAAATCAGCAGATAAATTAGGAAATTAATAATTATGGTAGTTTAAGTTAAAATTATAATTAGAGGGCATATTAGGTATTTTTTAAAAACTCCTCTCTCCTCTCTCCTCTCTCATCTCTCCGACTTCCAATCTTCGGCCTCCGGTGAAATCGGTATCACAATATATCATAATGGGTATCACATTGTGTATCTTTGTTTTTAAGGTTTGAGTTGGTATCATAGTTAGTATAACAATGGTATCACAGTATATCACAATGGGTATCACATTGTGTATCTTTGTGATTACTAGGTACCTGCTGGATTAATGTTCACCGGAAGCCGGAGATTGGAGGTCGGAGAGATGAGAGAGGAGAGAAGAGAGAGGAGTTTTAAAAAAATACTTAAAATGCCCTCTAATTATAATTTTAACTCAAACTACCATAATTATTAATTTCTTAATTTATCCGTTGATTTGTGGTTGAGATTGGATCTCACAATTACCACAAACTAATTAGTTATCCCTTGAATGGACCCTTATATATATATATATATATATATATATATATATATATATATTAATTGTTTGAATTTTTATGTAAAAGATTTATAGACGGGGTTAACCATCACGATGATATATCCAAATTAACCCTGCTATGATTGAAAGGAATTCCTAAGAATCCAACAAACAAAGTAAATCTATACTACATTAATATGCATTTAGACCAAAAGTGTTAATTACAAGTCTTAAAGCATAAAGTACTATCAATTTATGCAAGAGATTCAAAAATCTCTTAAGTACAAACTATTATGCATAATGTACAAATGCTTAAAATATACCATTTGTTTGATCAAAGTTTCAAATTTAAGTAAGTCATATTTACATGAAAAATGTATGTTTGGTCTTCCCAAAATTGTTTGACACTTTGTTTCCTATTTTGAACCCAAATTCAAATTCAAAGTTCTTCTTTCTCTTGAAGTAAAATGAAATTTGAAGCAACACTACACCATATTAGCCTTCAACTTTATATATTAGTTGACTTGTAAAATAACCACACAAACTCATAATTCAAAGTTAAACTAATGTTTCAGAATTGTGATTCACTTGTGCTGCATCGCGTAGGTACACCGCTAGTATAATCAATATAAGTATTGGGAATAACATAGTATTATCCGATTCATAAGGATACGAATAAGTCTTGATATTTCCAAAATGCGGAATAGAAAGAAATGGTTGGATCATATTTCTTACATTCTCATCAATTTTATATACTTTATTTGAAAAAGAAGAAGTACATCCATTCTTCTTCATTTTTAATAAAGTTACCAAACGAAAGTTTTTGTTACTTATTTTCGAACCTTCTTTATCCCATAGAGATCTTGAATAGAAATCAAAAATAAGTAAACAGATCTGACACATATAAAATGCGGTCAATATATATATATATATTCATATTTATTTTATGACTGTATTTTATTTTACTGCTACTTCATCGCTATAACCGCTATTTCAAATCAAGTTCTGGACTGCTATTTCCACTACCAACCGCATCAACTGCTTAACGATAAACAATTACATTCAACCAGTATTCAAATACTAATCTATACTATATTATAAAACATTTGACAAAAACTCTTAAAAACAATTTTTTATGCATGAAATACTATTTATTGATGCATATTACTTAAAATTCAAGATTACAAGTAATATTGCGTAAGTACAACTTATTAAAGCTCTATTTTTAAA